GTCATTTGGAGGTTCCCTGTATTGTTTGGAGGCCACCCACCCAAGATCAGTTATTCTCCCTGTATCAGGATTACAGGCATACGCCACCACAGCTATTTTTGGGCGTCAGCTCAGCACATCCCAGGGGCAGGATAGCAAGGCATGTGGTGCTGGGGATTGAACCCTGGTCCCTGTGCTTGCCTAAGCAGGCATTTAGTCCGCTGAGCTATCTTACCAGCCCTTACCCAGCACCACACACACACACACACACACACACACAAAATAAATAAATAAAAATAATTAAGCACCCTGGACAAATGCTAGGTCTATCAAAGAAAATCTGACTCCACAGTTAGGAAAGTCAGCAGGGACCCCAGCAGTACCCGCTTCCCTCCTTCTGACTCAGCTTGACTGTCCTGCCTCCTTGTTTCACATGCACCAAGACTAATCTGTTATTCTTTGTACCCCTTCACCTGGCCACAAGCCCGGCCCAGGCTCCCTGTCAATGGTTTCCTGAAGGCCAAGACCCACAAGACGCAGGGTAACCTTTGGGCTGTCCCTATCACACCCTTCCCTGCCTCCCAGAATGGTGCCACAGTGACCCCAGCATGTGGCAGAGTTCAATGTGCAGTGACTTGGCCAAAGTTCCTGTGCATCAGTGTTTAGCCTGGTGAGGGCCTGCTGCTGTGAGGACGTTTCCAGGTGGCACTGCCAGGGTGAAGGCCTTTCCTCCCCACCCTCTCGGCACTGGCAGGTCAAACCCTTCCCCTGCTTCCCTCTGAGTTGCCAGCTCTCATCTTCCTGTTGTCAGCTGACACTGCCCACTTGCGATGCTTCTATACATTTGGATTACTAAAAACTGCCCTTCCCCAATGCCACCCCATTATTGCTTCCTTTTGCAACAAAATGCCTTGAGAAGTTGTTGACATTTACTCTCTGCAGTTTATCCTTCCTGCCTCATCTGCTTGCTCTCCACCCACAGCAGCGCCCGTGTCGCTGACACCCACTGAAAATGTTCCCATCAAGGCCATGCAGATGCTGCATTTGGGCTGATGCTCCGCTCCTTCCGCTCACCTGAACCTGGGCTACACCTGGGTGCCTCTTCCTGCCCGTCTCTGCCCCTCCTGGGTGCCTCTTCCTGTCTGCCTCTGCCTGTTTAGTGTGGGCGCTGCTCATTCTGCACTCATCCCCTGGAAACCTCACTCCGGTTCTTGACATGCCGGCAGTGTCCCCATGTGGGGCTGATACAACACTGGGCTCTGGGTGGCTCAGACTTTCTGACTTGTGAGGTTTGGAAAGGCGCTGTGCATACAAGGTCCTTAGTCCCCCCCCCCCTTTTTTTTTTTTTGGTGGAACCGGGGATTGAATTCAGGCCCTTGTGCTTGCCAGGGAAGCGCTTATTCCACTGAGCCATTTCCCCAGCCCCCTCCTTAGCCCTTTTTAACTTTTATTTTATTTTGAGACAGCATCTCACTGAGTTTCCCAGACTGGCCTCAAATATGGAATCCTCATGCTTCAGCCTCCTTGGAAGGGAGGATCACAGGCACGTACTCGCACATCTGGCCAGAAGTGCATTTCTAAGAAGCAGCTCCCAGGCGTGCTGATGCCGCTGGCCTGCCTCATTAGAGCTATACATGCTGGCCGTTCCCTAATTTTCATCTCTAGCCCAGAACTTGTCCCAACTCTACAGCCGCAGATTCAACAGCTGGGGCCAGGGAGATGGCTCAGTAGAATAAATGCTTGCCTGGCAAGTGCAAGGGCCTGAGTTTAATCCCCGGTTCTGCCAAAAAAAATAATAAAAACAGATCCAAATGCTTACTGAACTCTCTACTTACAAGCCTGAAACTTCTAAATACATATGGTAAAGCTGAACCCCAAGTCTGCTCTTTCTCGCCAACTGATAGATAACAACTCTGTCTTGGAAGGTGCTCACACTAAAATCACCGCCTTCCCTCCTTATCCCAAATCCGTCCCTACTCGGCAAAAACATGCCGGCTCTATTCTCTGAAGCTTGCACACATAAGACTTGACACCCGGAAACTGACAACTGTGCACTACTGCTTCTGAAAATAGCCTGGTCCAAACTACTGTCATCTCTAATTTGGATTACTAACCTTCCTCAGCATGGTGACGCACACCTGAAATCCCAGCTACCAGGGAGGCTGAGGCAGGGAGGCTGAGGCAGGGGGACTGAAAGTTTGAGGCCAGCCTGAGCAACTCAGCAAGACCCTGTCTCAAAATGAAAAGGAGTGAGAATGCAGCTCAGCGGCAGAGAGCCTGCCTAGCACGCAGGAGGCCATGCGTTAGGTCCCAGAACAAAAAAAGAAGTGAGCTGAGTCAGGCATGGTGGTGCAAGTCTGTAATCCCAGCACCGTGGGAGGCTGAGGCAGGGGGATCACAAGCTTGAGTACAATCTGGGCAATTTAGTGATTTAGCAAGACTGTCTTTCAAATAATAAATAAACAAAATAAGGTTGGCATTGTAGTTCAGGTTCTGGGTTTGATTCCCAGTATCGGGAAAGTAAAAAAAAAAAAAGCAGTGGTTCCCCTTTGCCTCCGCTGCCTCTGTGCCCTGTTCTTTCCACTCCTCCTGGCATCCCTACCATTCCCGGCATGGACTGCACACCCTCCCTTTGCTCTGGCTTCTCCCACTGCCTGTATACAACACTTTTCCCCAAAGGTGGCTCAGCCAACAGCCTGTGTCCTACAAGAATCAAGTCTTGGTGGGAACTACCCGCTTGGGCCTCCCTCCTGGCCCTCTCTTGGACAGGAGCTTTCTTTCTCTCAATAAATATATTCTGGTCATAACCTCCGTTTATTCCTAAAATTCATTCTTTGGTTTTAGAGAACACAAACTCATGCAGGTCAGGTCGGGAGATCGTTTTCCCTATACGGTTTGGAGGTCACCCACCCAGGATCAGTTTTTCTCTCTGTATCATTTTGGAGTTTCCCACCGAGATCATTGGACGGAGGTATGAATTTGCTTTTCTTTCATAAATTCTGAATTGGAACTTTCTTAGGTAACAGATTTTTACCATAGTTTTGTCCCACCTCCTGCCCACCTAAGCGAGTTCTCATTCTCTCTACCTTAGCCTCACATGGTTTTACACTATAAAAGTCCCTGGAAGAGACAGCTTCTCAGGTAACTATCCGCTTGGGACCC